CTCACTAAGGGGTGTAAGTTCCAGATTTTGTATTAGCAGGGTATTTGCAGCACGAAGCCAAGGAGGCTAGATGGAATCTTTTGGTGGTCAAAGAAGGCTTTAGTCATTCCCAGAGGGGGGTGGGGGATCCCATGTGATAAGGTTGGCGATGCTCTTTGAAAATTTGGAATTAAACCCTAAAGGAGACCAATCTGGGCAATGGCTCAAGCTTTATTTGACCACTAAAAGATAAAGCTGGCATGACAGTGGTTTTCATTGTTTCTTCAAGTGCGATTCTTAAATATGCCTTAAATGTGGCTAAAAATAATGGCTTTTTGTCCTGCACACTCTAAGTGAGACCAAAATCTATGATTTACACCCCTAAGTGAGACAATGAGCATCCCTGACATTTTCATGTGGGAATCCTCCCCTGACAAGTCATACCGAGATTGGTCTTATTTGTAAGTCTAATTCAAATTCATATCGTCAAACCTTTAGCTTGGGAGCCCCTCCCCCTCCCAGGATTCTATTTACACTGCTGTTGACGTCACTAGTACTGTTGAATGCCGAGCCATGTTTATCAACAGACTGAATGATTAAGGTGACATTCTCCAACAATGTTTGCCTTTTGGCTGCACAGTCTACCTGTGCAGAACACAGAACAGTCAGTTAACAATAAGGGTTTCATTGTACTAGAAAAAGACAACAAATCCTAATAATTCCTCTCCCATTACTTTCCTGGAAAATAAATTACCAGTAAGCAACTGTGAAGTCAAGTATGTACATTTTTTCAATGTCATTTTTCAGTTATAGTCATGATCTACAGTCTACCCAAAATGAGGAAAAATATTTACCTGACAAAAAGAAAATATAAAGAAAATGGCCGGCACTATGGCCTAGTATTAAGGAACTCCAAGGAGGGTAATGTGAAGTGCGGTTTCAAAAATCCAAGATCATTTGTCCACCAGATGTGAAACATGTTTTGTTTGTCTTATAAAGAGCGGTTATTCAGGACTTGACTTTCAGGAAAAAACCTTGGGGCCAGCTGACCCCTAAGTTTTCAGATTTAGTTGCCAGCAAAAGTATTTCAATCAGTGAAAAGCATGGAAAGTTAGTCGCAAGTGAAAAAAATTCAGTCCCACTGGCGACCGTAGAGCTCTGTTATTACTGAAGATTAACAGTCCCAAATGGGAACCTAAAATAGCAACAATCTTGACCTTAGTGTAACCCAAATCACTTAAATATATCATCTCTCTTTGAACAATGGTATCTGCAGCACACAATCAAGGGCACAACAATAGAAGGTTAATGGATTAAGAGATTTAAAAAGCCGCTGATAAGTGAAAAAGGCTGATTTGCTGTGTAGAAATAATGCTTCTAAGCTTTGAGATCATTTTATGATCAACTAAGATTTGAAAACCTTTACAGTTCCTTTACCAAAGCAACATTGTTTGCAGGTAGTTTAAAAATTATAAAACAATATATCAGTTTTGTACGAGACAGTGTTTTGATCTACAGGGTAATGTTAAATAATTTACAGAGTGGGGGTGGGGAGTCAGCGAGGTAGAACTCTCTTGTAAATCAAGACCCTTATGTACCAGGCATTGGTTTAGATTCATTTTATCCCTGGAAAGTAACCAGATGGTTGCACCAAACAGATTGAAACAGACATGGGCCGCAGATTTTCCAGTTTTGCTTGGGTCCTAATAATTATACCGTACTCGAATAAACATGTGGTCACTCAACTGAAACTTATATTATAAACCCCTGAAAACAACTTGAATATTCCCTAATACAGGGACTGTTAATAAAAGGAATACCCCAACCCCAGGTCAAACTATGTTATATAGACTACAGTTTACAAAACAGTGGGCCAACCAAAATTGTCTTTTACGCAGAAAATAATTAAAACGTGAAGACTTCATGCTAGGTAACGACGCTGGAAATACATGCGCGCGAACACGTTTTACGTGGAGAATGACTTCTAAGGGTTCATGTTGCACGGCCGAAACTACTCTCCACAAGTTTTTCTTTTTGCACCATGTATCAAAATAAACAACATTTTATGATACTTAATTGTCTTAATCAACTAACTGGTTGTGGTCTTTGATCGCTAAATACGTACTCCCAGTTAGTAAACACAAGTTTCTACTACTTGTAGGAACGCGTTCATCTGTTGTGCATTTTTCGTATACATGGACGTGTAGTCGAAAATTTAATTTCAAAAAGCACGCAGCTTTCACTTACTCAGCTGTATTTTACTGTGGCACGCAATTTAGATTTCTAAATCTATAAAATCCATGCACTTCAAGCTTTACTGTGGCAATTAGACTGCCGAACCAAATTGCATTAAAACATTTCTCTTACTAGTTTAACCGAAACGTTTGCAAGCTTTTACTTACCAAAGTTAGAGAACGCTTTTGTGGTTGTTAACATCCAAGCATCCAAAATATAACTGGCGTGACTTTCTACATTTCCTTTATGGGCAGATGGAACAATGTTTAACGAAATGTCTGCACGTAGTTCGGCGAGTTGATTGATTTGAAACATTATGTAATTGTCAATGTAAACAAATCTGACAGCTAGGACCAGTTCAACGCGGTCACTCGATTTATCTCGGAACAAACTAAGATGACTCTAAAATATTTCCTGGATCCTGCTAAGCTGAGCCCGTTTTTCTTGGGAAGATGAGAGGGAAAATGGCTAAATCTAGAATTAGAAGGTCTACTGCAATGTTTACTGTAAACTATGGACCAAGATCTTAGAGAGTGTAAAATGAAGATCAGTGTTTATTTTTGATATTTTTCAACTTAACGCTTTTTGGGTAGGACACGTACGTGTATGCAGGCATTCTAGTAGCATTAGTGTGTACATCGGAGTTCTGATTCCAATCAGAGTAACATGCACTGGGATCGGGCGATGTTTTTTTTTTCTTTTAACATGTCACGCAGTCTTTTCTCGAATCAACATTAACCACCCAAAGGAAGGATTGCGTGACAAGTCACACGGGATTTTTCCTGTGAGTGAGTGACTGACTGAAAGACTGTGTGACTGACTGGCTGGTTAACTGACTGACTAGTCTTAAGGCTGACTGAATGGCTGACTGTCCCAGCGATAGACTTGACTGACGGACTGAAATGATTCGAGCCGGAACTGAAAGGTGCCGTGAGTTATAAGGCCACCCCCGTCCCCACCTTCTCCACGCCGGGCCGCCGAGGACCACCGCATCATCAAACGAACATCTTGAAAAACACCCTTGCGATAAATAGACTAGACCCCAAATTCCTTAACGTGTTCAAAGCCCCCAAATACCCATAAAGAACATCACCGGGAGACCAGACAATATCGTCTGTTGTGTTAACCTCAAAACACAACAGCTTAAAAAAATGATTCAGTACAATGAAAGAGCAAAAATATAACAAAAAATTTCGGCCACCGCAGAAAGTTCTTTTACGTCTCCTTCACTTCAATCCCAGAGTAACCCTCGATCTGCCAATAATAAAGCGTTACCATGATACGGTGCAGTGGCCGTATTATGAAATGGGCGGATAGACGGGGTTTATTCTTACGCCCTCTGCGTGGAGTGTTCTTAAAATTTTCAACATCAACCTTTAAATGTTTTAGTTCGATATATGTATAAAAAATACTTTTCACTTATACAAAGAACTCGCAAGAAATTGATGGAAGCTTGTTTAAGTCTGCGTAAAATGTATTAAATGCTGAATTGTGAAGTTGTGTAATATAATAAATGTGCAATACAGTGTGACGCAATCTAGGCATATTGTATGATTTGGACAGCCAACTTGGCGCTGTTTCAGAGAAAGAATGTCACAGCTACAACATAAGCTAACATACAAAATTATGAGCAATAACTGCATTATCATACAAATGACAAAGGATTACTCAGAATTGAAGACACTCAAGGCTATCTTTGAGGGTCAACGAGACTAACACGCCACGTGTCCAAGCGTGACCTTGCTCCCAGCTTCCTCGCGCTATCCACTGAAAACAGGAACTACTCATATTGTTGAAAGCGGATTTTATCATTGTAGTTGTTAACGGGCCTGTTTGATACGCAGGTTTCAACATGTCGACTAAAAGCCTTTTGTCTACCGTTGCCATCCATTACTTTGGCTTCACAATGGCTGTGGACTATTCTATAGTGCTTTTGTCAGTTCAAGAACTTTGGTATTCGCTCGGTGGAAGCACCACTTATTATGGCTTCATGTTCGGAAGTTACGCACTCGCCCAAGCGGTCGTTTCGCCCTTACTGGGCTACATTTCCGATTTGCGAGGCTTAAAATTCGCCGTAATGCTGGCATTGGCTGTTAACGTTACGGGAAATGTGTTATACGGCCTGTCTGTTCTTTCGCAGTCGCTCATCATGATTTTCATCGGGCGTTTCATAGCAGGGCTTAGTGCCGGCTCGGTTACTCTCGCACTAATCTACTTGACAAACACAACTCCAAGAGAAACTCGTGGAAAATCCGTTGCTAGCTTCAAGCTTGCCCAAGCAGTTGGTCTTTTAGGAGGACCTATAATCGGCATTTTTCTTGTGCCGCCACTAGCGGGTAATATCGAGAACAACGTTTCGATGACCACGGGTAAAGTGTTCAATATGTACACAACACCGGCTTGGTTGGCGACTGCCAATGTTATTGTGATAATGTTGCCACTGGTGAAATACTGCTTCAAAAACCCAATGGCGCCTCATATGGCCATGAAATTTGACTACAAAGAAGCCAAAGGACTGATAGCTCACACTACAGTGCTAACGCTATCGATGTTTTTCGGAACGGCGTGTTTCTGGGGTATCATAAGCGACTTATTTACCCTCGCGTTCGGACAATACCGACTCGTGTCAGCACAGAGAGACTTGTGGAAGGTGTATATTTCCGGTGGCATCGCTTTCGTCTTCGCTGGAGTTCTGATACGAGGTACAATTCATCGAAAAGTTTCTCCGGCCATGTTCTCTATTCTTGGACTAATTGCTAACGTATGGGGATTTGTGATGCTCCTCGACTACAAAATCACCGATGAACGCTTGAGGAATGGCTTCTATTTTGGAGCCGTGGCGCTCGCGACTTCCGGCGGTGCATCTTTCTTCACCGGTGTCGGCGTTTATTACTCGCAGAAAATCACCGATTTTAGCGATCAGGCTCGCAATCGTCGAGGACTGTTCCTCGGGTTCTTCAACTTCGCCGAAGCTCTCGGTCGATTCGCCGGGCCAGCTTTGATATCACTGTTCCTTCGCTTATCAAACAAAGGAAGCTCGCAGTGCGATTCTGTCGAGTTTGACTCCACCAACTGCGAGGTTTCCAACGTGAATGCAGTCCTCGCATCCTTGTGCGGTATCCTGTTTATAAATCTACTGCTGTTTATATATTATCATATTGTTCATGGAAAGCGGCAAACCGATGGCTTTCTACTCACGAATACCGACCTTCCGAATGCCTTAGAGGGTAGGCTCACTTTCAGGGACGACCAGGACGGTTTTATCGACGGAGACAGAGAAAGAACTGGCCCTTTCCAGACCCAGATGGAGCTCTCTCCCCCACAGATTCGCAGGACATCTTCACACACCTCTTCGCAGGATGGCAGCGTACACACAGTGTGATCTGTACAGCGTCAAGTTAGTTAATATTTGTACGCTTCAACTATTGAAAAATAACAGGACGCTTGTTACCTCTTTTAAGAGAGCACCCACACTCTTGCATACTGCTGTTGGGGTGAAATTAAATGAAATTGATCTCTAAATATTTCCATCCCGTGTCGGGGGTTTAACGTTGTTATATCCACATGCAAATTTAATCAATGGAATTTATTTCGAATACGGTAGTTTTGCGCATAATTTAGTCACAGTCTTTTGTGAAGTGTACATTTGTAAACTGCCTGAGGGAAGCGATCGGCTTTTAAGTAGAAAGGATGGATATGTGTTAAGCAAGGAACAGAAACTTGGTTTGAAAATTTTGAGATGAATATCATGGGACATCTGGCGGTATTTATACTCCTAAGAATTCTGAATAAACCTTCTCGATAATGTAAAACCCTTCAAATTCCAAGAAATGGACACCAACGTGGAACGAAATTGACATCTTGTGAAGCAACATAAAATTATTAGAGAGCTTGAGCAATGACAGCGGCGACCCCGAGGACAACGCCTAGTAAAAAATGAATTTATATTTTACCTTCGAGTTTTGCAGTTGTCTAGATCTGTTCAGTTCGCTTATTGGTCTTAAAACTTGCTCAAGCTAAATACGTAACGCCAGCGTTTAATCCAAATGAAAATACGAATAATAAGCCGTCGTCGTTCGCGTTCTCCAAAATACGCAGAACTTGGTCATCTCACGTTGTTGTTGTGCAGAGGACGGCCAAGAAATGTACAAAGATTTATAACGCACGTGCACAACCATTGTTCTACTCATTAAACCTTTTGTTTGGTGGCGTTCTCGTTGCCGTTGCCGTTGCCGTCGTGGTTTGCTTAACTTCACTATTACGTGACAAAATGTGTACGTGCTTGAAGGAAGTTGGAATTCCGTGATATCAGTTAGGATAAGAAGCTTATGCCCGCTCTTGGAGTGGCAGGATCTGTTCAACGAAAAGACTAGAAACATTTGTATACTGACATAATAAAAACCTACGGGAATCTCAGGAAGTTCTTATAAACAACAGTAACTTTGCTTTTGCTTGCAGTTAAAAATATTTAAGGAGACACTTCGTCTAGGATATTATATTTTTTTGGAGTGCAAAGTTGCTTTCAAATTGAGGGAAAAGTCAAAATAATGTTTCTCTAAGGTGGCAAAACAGCAAAGTAAATAATCAAAGATGATTATTGCCGAGGAAGCAAAAGACGATTTACAGATGACAATTTTGAAAAAAAAAAACCCAGAGTTTTCGAGGTATGCCGTGCATAACGTATTCCTCTAAAGGAAGGAGGTGCTTAATGGCACGTGCAATCTCGTGACGTGAATTTATTTAGTAGCTGTACAAAGTTAGTTAGTGCCTGTCTGTTTACCTAAGAATGATTTTACCCTTAACCCGTAAAATAGGTAAATACACAATAGGATGCTATCAGACACTAATGGTGTTGTTTTCTTTTGTTTTTCTGTGACAGTTTAGGGATAATTGTTACATGTTGTTTTATGGGTTAAATGAAATCAATCTGTTCTGTTTTTCCTAATTATATGTTACTGATACGCTTTAATACAATGCTCGAATTAACATCAATTACTACGAAATTTAAAGTAAATAAAAGGTGAAATATAAGAGTTTCTAATGAGGGTGGTTATTGTTATAGTTTTTTTGTAAGAACCATTGAGCATTGAGCATAAGATTTTTCAGAATTTTTAGAATCCTGGCGAGGCTGAGATAAACTGAAGGGTATTTTTTGGAAGAAAAAACATAGAATTGCTAATTGCTTATCATAGGATGAACTAAACAGCGTCCACACTACGCCGGAGAAATTTTAAAACGCAGCTTTATTTCTACGGTTAGGCCTACCGTCCACACTAATCCGGCACGAAAACGGAGCTTTTCGAAAACACTCTTCAAACAGGAGGAATTTGAAAACGCCAGCTTTTCGTTTTCGTGTGGACGGTGAAAATTTTGAAAACGGAGCTTTTCGAAAACGATGGCGCTACGATTATCATTTGATTTCCCTATCCGCGTTTTCCCCAACTGAACACACAACCAAAATAACCGGTGATCGTTGCGTTTTTTTTGAAATTTCTCCCGCGTCGTCTGGACGGAAAACATCTGATGTGTTTTCAAAGTGAAACGTAAACGGGCGCTTACTGTCAGAGATCGCTTACAAAACAAATCTGTAACGTGCCTGGTGTTTATTCTGAAACCATTGGGAACACAACACCCTTATAGAGATATTGGCCTGGCAGTGTTTACAAGGCAATGGAATTTACAACGAAACGTGAAATAATTGTTAAAATGGCATAGTTTACTTCCGGTCACGTCCACCTTAAGAACATTTCCAGGGTCGCTGATGGTCAAAAAGATTAAGAAAGACTTTGGCACAGCCTGAGCTACAATTTTTTATGGTCTTAAACAAATAGTGCATACTATTCTTTTTCTGTTTCTCGTTTCATTTCTTGCTTTTCACTCCTTAGAATTTCTGAACGGGAAATACGAAAAATTAGCCGTCGTGGTTTGCCCTCCCCACGCCACGCAGAACTTGATTATTTCACTTTGCATGTCTGTTTTACAGAGGACAGCAAAGAAATACTCAAATATGTCAAATATTTACAACGCACGTGCTTAGCCATTGTTCAGCTCATTGAACCTTTCGTTTGGTGACGTTCACGTTGCCGTTGTGCATGGTCTCCCTAGCAATCACTGAGCTGAGTGTATACGTGTTGTAGAGGCAATTTGTATTGATAATTGTCCTTTTTAGACGCATGATGCCTGTATAGGGTTTAAAGGCGGACAATGTTCGATTTTACTGACGGTTGCTTGAAAAACTTGGTAGGGCCGGGAAAGCCGAAAAATTCGTTTGCAACTTCTAACCTCAAATCGAGTTACCTTGATCCACTGTCGATTATTCCGAACCAATGAAAATCAACTTCCTAATATGGAGCTTAGGCGACCTGAGTACGCGCAGACTATAAGGACAGCGCGTCGGACAGCAGGCGCGCATCGACCGCGCGTGTAATCACGCGCGGGTCCAGATGACGACCAAATGACGACACAGACGAAATTTAAAAAGTCTTCACAAACGAACAATAGACAGAAATTCGCTTGGAAGGTCCGAGATGAAAAGTGAAAAACCGTGAGGTTTGTCCTTAGCTTTGTGATTAGGTTTTTCTCAGTACATACCTATGTTCCTGAAAAGCTCAGGTAGAACTACACAAGGTGTCGTTATTGTTTTGACTCGTACAGTGGCAGATATGGTGCGGAGGATTTGCCCTTAGTTGGAGACGTAATGTTTCTGCAGTGTACAGTAAAAGAAAAGCGAGGACCCAGTATTCCGTGCCATAATATGCCAGTTATTAGCCCTGAATTATACAGTTTACGAAAAAGGATAACATCTGATGGTACTTCTGCCGTACATGAAGTCAGCTGCTTTTATAGATTTCTTTAGTCGAAGGTAAAAAAAAATATGTTTGGCTTGTCTATAAGTGGTGTGATATTGCGTCTTTTATGTGCAGTGCACACTTGACATTTTCCAGATCAGATTCAAATGAAGTGTAGAAAATTGCAACAAACAGTGAGATCGTAAGAATCAACAAGGGCAAAATAGGGAAATTCGTGAATTATAATTATACTGTCGTAACAGCAAATGTTATTTCAACTTCCGATTTCCTGTATACTTTCAGTTCAGCATCAGCAGTAAGCTACTACTTAAAATGTTAGCAGAGGAAAGTTTTAGCGTTACAGCATCTCAGGAAAGACACATAACCAAACTTAGTTCCGGTGTTCACATTATTACAAGAGAATGCTTTTTCGCATCACGGATAATACGGACAAATGCACGTTGAAATTCTACCGTGTTGGACTTCGTCAGGTTCAGCTAATTTGTTTTTTATCCTTTCCCGTCTACGCGCCGGGGTTCATTTTATTTGTATGTTGTTACATCAATGACAGCAGGCTGTAAGCAGAAGTTTTAGGGAAGACAAAAATGAGATCAGTGGGAAAAGGAATGAGCTGACTGATTTGGTTAGAAGAGCATGTCGGATATCAGTACAAGTGGCCGGTATACATGACTGTTTAAGAACTCGAGATTGCCCCAGGGACACTCGAAAGCCTCTACTTGAAACACCTACAATAGTTAATTAGCACTCACACTGAGACCTGCAATCTCAAAATATATATCTCCGAGGAAAAAACTATAAAGTACGCAGCTAACACAAATGTTTTACCTTACTGACGTATTTTGGCTGCACTGGTCTTTGTTTTGTTGTCTTTCCTCGCTTTGTAAGTCCTGTGTACACTTGTCCCAGCAAGGATAACAGTTTACTGATGATAAGCACTGACGCAGTTTGTGTCGTTATAATCAATAGCCTGTCTTATTCTCTGACTCTCTTTCTAATTGGCTGTTAAACGGTGTCAATGAAATCTAGCACTGCATAAAAAACTCCATAGTATCCGTGCAGGCAGTTTCCTCATCACCAGTTTTCTCTCGGCCTTTGCTTCGCGTGGGTTTCCTCGCGTGCACTTTTCGTGGACGGAATCTAGCACTCGATCGTCTATCGCGCTTCGCGTTTTCCCCTCATATCCCATCAGGCAATATCCGCTTCCTTAGAAAATACCATTTGAGGGTCGCCAGAAAAATGTCTCAGTTATAAAATTTTTATTTAGAACACACGAAAAAACAAGTACAAAAAGCAGCTTAAAATCAGATTCGGGGATTGTTTATAGAGGGCCTTAAGAGACGATAATCTTAATGGCCTGTATTTCTTATGTTGTTTTTAAACTATTTCCATCTCTCGTTATGTATTTTAAAAACTAAAAACCAGCAGGAGGGATTTCACGCGCGAGGAAAGAATTGTAACAAAAGCACTCGCGCGCAAAATCGCCAGATAGGCATATAAAATTAAAGAGGAATATACAATATCAAATATAATCAGTATTATCTAGAATGTTTAAAGTAGTACTAAAATAACGTTTACGAATTAAAATGTTGTCAAAAACGGAGGAAACAATGCTAAAAAATCGACGGTCAAGTACCATTACAGTTGAGGTTTATCTGGGTCAGTTCAGAGAAACTGCAAAGTTAATTGATTTAACCGTCCTTCCATGCAATCACAGCACAAAACTGCGATACAGTCTGTACTGATTCTTTCCTCAAAATATTTTGACGCACTTGTCCGCTGATCTCCTCCCTACTTTAGTTTGTTTTACAGAGGACAGCAAAGAAATACTCAAATATGTCAAATATTTACAACGCACGTGCTTAGCCATTGTTCAGCTCATTGAACCTTTCGTTTGGTGACGTTCACGTTGCCGTTGTGCATGGTCTCCCTAGCAATCACTGAGCTGAGTGTATACGTGTTGTAGAGGCAATTTGTATTGATAATTGTCCTTTTTAGACGCATGATGCCTGTATAGGGTTTAAAGGCGGACAATGTTCGATTTTACTGACGGTTGCTTGAAAAACTTGGTAGGGCCGGGAAAGCCGAAAAATTCGTTTGCAACTTCTAACCTCAAATCGAGTTACCTTGATCCACTGTCGATTATTCCGAACCAATGAAAATCAACTTCCTAAT